GCGCTGCCCTGGCGTCTCTCTGAGTAACTGGGCTCCTGTGACAGCCTCTCGCCGCAGGGCTTGAGGGTTGGCAGCACGAGCCTGCACAATAACTGAAGTCCTTTAATGCCCTTGGGTTTTCTAATTGCTTCAAGTGTCGCACATTTTACTTTAGAAGTGAATAAAGTGTTATTGGTATTTTGGAGTAGTCGGCCTGACATGGTGGATCCTACAAGGAAGGGTGGGTATAGGATGAGCAGAGAAGGCTGCGCTGGCTCCTGTAAAAGCTACTGGTTTTAAAGGGTATAAAGCCTTTCTTAGATTTCTGTCATGAATAGATTGACCTTCAGTGACCTACGTTAAATATTCTCAGTGAAAGGTCAGATAGACGGAAGCTCTGTTGCTTCTTGAAGACGCTGATTACCCATTTCTCAAGGGCATGGTCTTTCTCAAATTGTTTCAGGACACTGCTTAAGTTGAACTGCTTGTGTCTGAATTATCTCTTTTTTTTTTCCCTTCATCTGCTAGGAGATAGAATCACCATGTCGTCTGCACTATTGCCTAAGCCTCAGATGAGGCGTCTTCTGGCCAGGCGGATGAAATTTCATCTCTTTGGGGCATTTTTGGTATCTATAGGATGTGCTGCTTTGTACAAGGTAGGAGCTTTAATTTTCAAAATGTAAATTCCTCTCCTTAGAGTGCTAAAAAATTCTTATCTTGCTTTGTTAAGATTTTTTTAAAGATTCTTCATCAAAAAATTGTTTTTCCAAAACACAAATAAATAACTTTCGTTTGAAGAAGTGTTATGAATAAACTGACAGCATGTGTGACCTGTGCAATTCATGACAACATAACCTAGAGCCTCCTAGGCCTAGGCCTAGATTACAATGTTGCTCGTTCACACACGACTGATGCTTCTCAGATGAACTGTAGATGGCCTGTGACTACAGGAACTAGGATATTGTGAGGGAGAGTGAATTGTCAAATCTTATCTCTAGGTCAACTTCAGAAACCATCTACATAAGCAGGTTGGAGAATCTGCCCTTCTGAAGATCGTGATGACAGTCAGTTTGGCAGATTTTAAGTTAATCTGCCAAGCTGTCAAAAAACTAACTCAGTACAACGTAAATAGTTTTGTGTCAGCTGAGCAGCTGCCTGGAAGTCAGTCAGGAAGCTGACAGACGGTGCAGCTCGGCTGTTGTACTTGAGATGAATGAGGGCCAGGGAGTCAGGACCATGTCTTCTCTTGTCAGTGAGCTGTGAGATTGGCTTGGCAGTCTCCTAAAGTTTTACCATGCCTCCGTAGTTGACCTAATGTGTGGCTCAAAGGTAAGAAATTATCTAGAGTTTTGAGTCCTGCAGCTGCCCATGGACATACTGAAAGCACGGTGTAATTGTTGCTTCGTGAAAGCCGTGAGCAGGCTGGGCAGAGGACACTTAACATATCAGTATAGTCAAAATGCTTCTGAATATTAAAAATGTAGCAGGTTTTCATTTTTAGGTTTCATTTTAGACACTTGCTTTCATGTCCATCAGTCAAGCAAGCAAATTTGAACGGGTACATACTAGTATTTTTCTAATTCTGTTTTAGTGGTAAAGACTTTTATAAACCTGATACCCCCTGATGTAAATCCTGGCATTACTAGGCAAGAATTTCTGCTTATGTAGCTGTGGATGCTCTAATTCTCTGTGTGTTGCATTGCAGTTTGGTGTTGCTGAACCCAGAAAAAAAGCTTATGCAGAGTTCTATAAAAACTATGATCCCATGAAGGACTTTGAGGCCATGAGAGCTGCTGGGGTGTTTCAGTCTGCACCTCCCAAATGATGGTAACCTGCATGAACAGGTAATAAGCAGTGAAACCTTGTGCTTTTATTTTGAGGCTCTTCCTTTTCTGTCAAATAAAAAGGGGCTTTGGAGAAAAAGGGTACAAAGGGTACTCCTCAAAAGAGATCTGGGGCTAATAGGAAATACGGGAACTGGGGAAGAGGGTAAGTTCAGAATGGGAAGCTCCTAAATGCCTTTTGGCTAATTTAACTTACGTGTGATATAGCAAACCCCTGCACTCAGTGATGCTTTTCTGTCTTTGTGCAGCTGCATCCAGGACAGTTCTGTCCATCCCAGACGGAATGGGTGCTCTGTATAAGACTTACATTACTTAGGATGTTTATTACATTGATACTGTCACATCCTTAATTGGATAGCATGTGCTTATCAAAATCTAATACTGTCGTGCTCATGGTAGGTGGTAGTTTGGTGAACTGTAAAGGCTGTTTTTCTCTCGTAGCACAGATTTTAATGTAAGAAATGGAGACAACTTCTACACATCCTTTTGTCTCCTGAAAGTGATGAGAGGGGAGACATAACTAGTCATGAGGAAAAAATATATGTGCATGTGTGTATGTATATGTGTTTAAAAAAGTAACAGTAGCATACTGCCTCTTGGTGAAGAGATGTTCAGATTTTCACCTTAATGAATTAAGTCTGGATAGGATATTGTTTTCTGAGCACTTAACACTGTTTTGTTCTAAGACCACCGAACTCCATTCCCCCTTGCTTGCTAATCTGGGAGTGGGGAGAAAAGTCTTGATTTCAGCCTTGTCCTAATTGTTACTAAGTGTGCTCACTCCGCTGCACCAACTCCTGATGTGATAGTTCAGCAAGGAATTCCTCCCCGCTTCTTGATCCGTGTTTCTTGCACTGAGTCTTCTGCTTCTTTTAAAGTGACTTCAAGCTAATCTAGAATGATAGCTTTTTCATTCTCTTGGAATGTTTTTATATTGTGATCATCGCGTGATAATCTGTGCCTCTAATTATCCTGGACAGCTGGATTTTCTCAGCCTGTTTGGTTAAGGCAGCAAGATGGAATGAAACATTTATGCTGCATTAATAATAAGTTCTGTTATGCGACAATCTATGATATCAGATTTCTGTGTAACACTGTTACATAAAAGCAGCAGAGCTGCAGCTCTTCCAGTACATATAAAAAAGATGTGTTATTTTTTCGGAAGGACGTTTCTTCAGCTATGAATACAGTACAGAGAAATACCGAAACGATAAACTTATGTTTCTATAATGTTGTTGTTGTGCCTCTAGTTCTGTCCTACTGCTAATATATAAGCACTTTATAAACTATAAACTTTCTTAGGCACTGGAGTTGCATTCTTTAGCCAGGTGGCCTTCATCAGAGTATTTTGTCAAGAAGGATACATGTTAAAATCTAGTTGCAGTCTTGAGCTGGATTTTTCAGTTCAAGTAGAGCCCCACTTTCAGTTGGGTTGTGCTCCTGTCTGCAGATACAGAAATCCCATTGCTGATTGTGTACATCTTTTAACATTATTTAAAATTTCCTAAACAGTTTTTCCATTCCTCAATTACATCAGTTCAAAAGCAAATGCAAAGGACAGATTTTGTATGTCACTTTGAACTGATAATGCTTCTTACTTTATGTACATAAGAACTTTTTTTTCCAGTTGTTTGTACTAGACAGCTGTTTTTTCATGCCTGGGTAGAGCAGCGCATGGATAGGTAAGCCCAAGAGAGGGAAGGCAATGCCAGTGTGTTCTGGTCTTTAAAAAAGACTGTAAAGAGGGCAAATAGGTGGAAGACTTTTCCATTTGGCTCAGCAGCGTAAGTTGGGCTGGGGGTCGGTTTGGAGCGAGGAGAGCCCCGTTCATTAAGGTTTTGGCCTGGAGCTGGGTGCGGAGTTTGTTCTGCCGGCACCCCCGTGAGAGCGGCGCTGGGGCTGTCCCGTTGGGAGTGGGTCCAGCCCCCACTTCGGTGTATCCACTTGCACGGCTCTTGCCATGGAGTACGGTTGGTCTTGGATAGCGTCCCGTACGCGGAGAAGCGGTTTGAATTTGGTTTCTTTCCTTCCTGCACCACTTGTTTCCGCTCTGGCTTCTGTCTGCAAGCTGCATTCCTTTCTCTTTTGGGCCCTTAGTGCTTAGCAAGTTTGATTCAGTTATCAGTGCGGCGTGGAGGGTGAGTCTTTAAGTGCTGTGCAGTATTGTTCCAGCTCTTGATTTGTTCCATGTTTCACTTCTGTTTGCCACATGAAGGGTGTGTAAATCTTAGACCATCAGGAAATAACAAGGGGAATTCCTCTAGACTAAACCACTGCATAAACATTTCCCTCCATTGCTTTGCATTCATACATACTAATGTGTTTATTTAAAGAGTAAGAAGTTTGTCCAATTTAACATTTCTTTTTTGTCTTGCAGATTCCTTTCAATCTGAGGAGACTTGATGACTGAACCTTACTTGTTCACTGAATTATAAAGTCCGTGTCGAGCTCTAATAAAACTCAATAAATAAAATACTTATGTCACTGGAGCTTATTTGTCTTCACTGATGTTGAAATGCCTAAATGTTTAGATGCTGGGAAGAGCAGTGGAAAGTCCTCATAAATTGATTGAGACTACCAAGCCTGCTTTTTTTTTTCCATCTTTCTTTCAATGAAGCTCCACATTTGATAGCATCATACATTCTTTAGCAGTTGCAGCTAGGTTTGCATTTGCAGTGATAGCAGGAATTTGGAAGAAGAGGGTAGTTGTTAATGGGAAGGCAGTGGCTGGAGTTCTGGAAGGGTCTTGGTTAGCCCTCGTTTCAGAAGGTGAAATGCCCTTGAAATGAAAGGATGTGGGGAGGAATTCTGGAATTGCAGCAGAGCCTTCCTGTCCTGCTGCCCTGCTCTCCTCCCAGCAGCAGCGCGTTGCACCAAGGCTGGGACACGCGAGTGCTGGCGCTTCCCCTGCAGGGCAGACTGGAGCAGACACCTCCGAGCTGGAGGCGCCACAGCCACGTGCGTGTGAAGCAGCTGCCAAGAGGAGACTTTGGGTAGGGTATTGTGGTAGGGGCAGTCGTGGGCGCTCCTTGCAGGCCAACAGCTTTTTAATGCCTGGCACCACCCGGCTAAGCGGAGTCTTGATGCAGGCTGCGTTCTGGATAGTCCAAGAGCTCATGGTCTGTTGGGTGCCTCCTCATGAGGCATTTGGGATGCGGGTTTTGCCCGCAGCGGGGGTTAGAGGTGCTGCTGGGGCTGCGGCTCCCCCCCACCCAACGTGGGGGCTGTGAGAGGAGCCCCGTCGCACCACGTGAAAGAAGGGAAGGCTCCATATGAAGACGTGACAAATTCGGCCATCTGTATCGTATTTGAAGGTCTTAAGTTCAAATTCTGTTTGGTGTAACTTTTATTACTTTAAATGGACCATTAACTTCTTAACACTTAATAGGTATCAGTGAGCAACATTTGCACTATTGAGAGCTGTTTAAGTAACATATTTGATCCAGAAGACCAGTCTGCAGGAACAAGGGATTTTCTTTAAACTTTCCGTATACACAGTGCAGACCAAAGAAATAATTTGACATTAGTGGTGCAGGGGAAACTATCTAGTAATCAAAATAATCCCTGCTCTGACAAACATAAACCAAAGCTTAACAATAGCAAATGATAGCAATTTATCTTCCCAATGTACAGTATAAACAGTGTTTGCCATTAAGCACTGACTAGCGTTTTCTGGGGCATGTCTGCAGGTTGTAACAGCCTGGGCTCTTCAGTCAAACTGACAGCTTCGCAGGCAGAGCACCCCGCTACTGCCAGGTGTGCTGGCTGGGAGAGCTGGCCTCCCCACAGCTCTAGCCCAAGGATTTTTCCCAGTTGCTTTGAATCAATTTACTTTTAAATTCTAAGTCTTATAAATTGCTATAGCCAACAGCAGTTTTAGTGTGTCTGTGCGTTTTGGTTCTTGCTGCTGGCAATGACTTAAAGGAAGGGGAGGCTTGTGCCCCAAGATAGCTTCCGACCCTGCAGCAGAGCACTGGATCAAAGGTGTCGTTGGCTAAATGCATTGATTAAAGTGTGCTCTTCCTTTCATGTCTGCACTGTTACTTCCTTTACACTTAGGCTAAGGCTTCACAACGGCTGCAAAACAAACGTATCCTTTCGGCAGGCAATAAGAAGCAGCCCAGAGTCGAGGCCGAAGATGAGCACGAGCAGAATTTTCTTACCTGCGAAGCAGGACGGGAGGGCAAAGCTGACGGTGAATTGTCTTTCTTAGCAAGTGCCTCTCGCCAGCATCAGTCCTGCAATCCCTTTACCCTCCCCATTGCCCCCCTGCGCTGTCCCCAGCCTTTGCCAGGGAGAGCTCCATTAATGCTGGTCCTGCCCATCGCTGTGTCCTGCTGCAGCTCCCTGCTGCAGGGCCTGGCGTGCTGTGCATGGGAGATGCAGCTCTGGAAAACATGTGCTGGAGTTCTGAGCCCATCCCCAACTGACCTCAAAGATTTTGCTATATTTATATATGAAATATATAAAAAGGAATTGTTTGACCTAAACTACTTTGGGAAAGGTCTTGCCTTGCATCAGCCTGGCTATGCCTTCAAATTTTTGGCTGGCTAGCTTTATTCTCGAGTGTTTGAGGAATGATTGATTGCTCTGGAAGCAAACTAAAAAGATATATTTGAAGTTGTGAGCTCTCCAGGGCTAAAGAGCATTATGAGCGTAGGTATGTTTTAAGCGTACACATTGGAGTGCTTTAGCAGCTAAGTACAGGCAGCTGCTCTCCGGACAACTTTGTTTTCATAGTTTGTGCAGCTCGTATGCAGGAGAGGCTGATTTATTGGCCGCCTCCACACGTGTTTCCATACATGTGGTCAGAAGGGGGAGAAAGAACCTGCCTAATGCAGTAAAGATGCTCGCTTAATTCTCTGAAGAAGAGTGTAACTTAAGCAAGTGTTTATTCCAGGAGAAAATAATTCAGGAAAAACACTACTATAATCTTAAACAATGGCAGCAATCTAGAGTCTTTTGGAAACTAAATTGCTGCCTTCCATCATTTTTTACAGGTGTGTTTGCGTCCTCTTGGCTGGTCTGCGTACTACACACAGAATGAACAGATTAATTCGAATAGTGACTACAGGGCTGTTTTGATTCAGTTAGTCACAAAATCATAAAACTTTTCAGCACATGTTTTGGCAAGCTCCTCACCAGTTCCTACTTCCAAAGCATTGTCAGGAGCCATTTGCATCTTCTGGTCTACGACAAAGACCAGTCACCTACTGCGAGGCCAGCGGGGCTCTCCGTGACGCTCGGGTGTCTTCACTGTCGTTGGTCTGTGCAATGACCTGCTCACTCACCTAACGCGGTCACCAGAGAGCTCAAAAAACCAAGAACTGTAGGAAGAATCTTTATTATCTGTAAACAATCTCATTATATTACAACTTATGCACCATATGCAAAATTAGAAGTATTAAACTATTTCCATAAAATATTCAGGCATGAAGAAAATATATATATGTACACATTTTTAAATAGTGTTACTTAAACAATGACTAAATTATTAAATCACTGTATGAAATGTTGATAATGGATGGGTTCATTTCACATTCAAGAAAGGACAAGTCAGATCCCAGAATTCTGCATTTCAGTACACAACAGAAACAGCTCTTAGATGCCACTTTTAACAAAGCAGAACCCCTCCCACCCCCCAAAAAAAACCCAAAACAAACATTGCAATTACTACATTCTCATTTACCGTGCATTTGGTCATACCTAGTATGCATAGAAGATATTAACTAAAGTATAATTATTTGCTCAATATGATGAACATATTTTATTCCAGTTCTTAAAGACTCTCCAATTCTGGCCATGGTCCAGAAGTTTGTGGCCATAATTACATTGAAAAGGGGAGAAAAGGAACTCACAGTTTTAAAACAAGTAAGCTTTTGTTTTTTAAAATAAAGCTGCCGTAGCCACGTTTTGTGTATAAAGCAACCTAACTGCGCTGGGAGAGAGCACTTCCTTGCCCATTACAACTTGTAAAACAGCTGAAAATAAGACATGTAGAAAGCTCATTTGTTTTGAATGTGTTTAACATTGTATCTGAAGTGAATCACGATAGCGTCACTAACTATTAATGTAACTGGAGTCTGTGTGTTTATACTGTTGAATTGCCTTGCAAAAAAATTCTTATTTTTGCTTAGCAGAAATACATCTGAAAAGTTATGTTTCTAAATATCCCTGTTCTTTTCACTTCAGATATGATAAGCATAAAATAATTTAGGCCTTAAGTGAGCAAATGTACCATGGTAGTGGTGGAGATAAGAAGGAAGTGAGACCCAGCAAGGCTACATTCAGCACCTGCACTTCTGCGTTACATTGAGCCCACTGATTTTTGGTAGAGTTGGAGGAGACTAAGCGCTAAACTGAAGGCAACTAAGTTTCTAAACTGCATGTTACTGGCTTCCAAACAACTACCAGACAACACACAATGCCAGGCATATGATGAAAGTCCCTCTGAAAATTTCATGGTGGATAAAATAAAGTTTCTGTATACAGAGAGTTTTAAAAATAAATTAATGTCGTAGTTAGCGTTTTGTTCTCCAAACCGCACAAAGGCACTAGTTTACATTAAGGACTAATGTCCTGCAAAATTTCAGTCAAATAAAGGAAGCTATTTTAAGGTTAAAGTGGTGCTAAAACCCAGCTGTCACTAGTAACTTAAAACAGCCATACTGGGTTTTTCAGATTTAGTGGGGGAAAATGTTTTGCCTCAGGACGTACGGGAGGAGTGTGTGTGTGGGTGGGTGGGGGAAGGCTCAACCTTGGACTCGTTTTTACAGCTGAGTTATAAACCTGGTTTATAACAGAAACTGGCAGACCCTAAAATATGATATAGTAGGTATTGATATAAAATTTTTGTGTTTGGCAAAAATGTGTCTGTGCACTCAAATTTTCCTTATTCTCTGTTTTTTCAGGTATTGAAAGGACAAAGGATTTTGATTCAGTTTATAGTCCAGTACTGTCCCCTTTCCACTTTCTTTGTTAGGCTAATGCTTTCCACCCAGCACTAGTC